AACAAGGGGGAATACAATGATTTGGATGCTTAGGGCAGCTGTCCAACATGACACATCAGCCTCACAATGAGAACAGACTTGTCAGAACGGCCAGAACACATGGATTCTGACAACCAGTGCTCCCCAAATTCATCTTAACAATAGGATCGTCTTGCCAAGGGTCTTGGCAAAGGTTCCCTCCTGTTGGACCTGCCAAAACCTGCTTCACTTTCTTCCTTCTAGCTAAGACTAGCCAATCCTTTCCTGGATTAACCTGATCTTTCTTTAACTATGCAAATACATTCAATTAGATCACAGTCTAAGCTTTTGGATCCAGAAGGTACTCTGCTTAAAATGACGTTGGAGATGATAATGAAGATCGTTAATTTCATTTCAGAGAACTCTAGTTCTCATATTTATGAGATTTCAGGGATACTTCATTTTAGTGCAGAGGTCTTAATAGCCCTGACCTACATGATAGTAAATAAAATATTTAGTTTAATCCATTTTTTCTGCACTACACTGTTGGCAAATCAATTTTTTTCTCCATTATACTATTGGTATCTAGGAAGATCAACATTAATTATATATCAAGGACCCACTAACTAGGATAAAAATAATTAGAATTACTGAGAGATCTGAATGAGAGAGCATAAGGAAATGAGGAAAAAATAGAAATTAGATATTAAATAAAGGAACAAGGAAAAAATTAAAAGCATGCATGTTATAAAGTAAATTTGTGTAGAATAGATACTGTTATTGTAAGCCAGGTGGCTTCAAGATGTCACCAACAGAACTTGTTAGGACAGAGCTAAGTTTATCATCTACTGTGCTAAAGGAAAACATCAACTCATAGAGCTTCACTTTTGTCTCTCAGAAGGAAGTTTGGTTTAAGGCATGTATTTCTAGATGGCGCTTATTAAGACTGGGTGATGATCATGCTATAATAGTTTAAGGTTGTTCTTAACAGTAAGGTAAACAGTTTGAAGAGTTCTAGGGATAAAAATTGTCTATCAAAAAACTTGAGAGTATCTTTTGGGAATTTCCGATAATGAACAATAAAATAATTTTCCCATACAAAAAAAGTCTTGGAATTATAAAATTATTCCAAAGACAGAATAGTAAAATTATTTAAAATAGACCATAAATTGCAAGATATGCATGGCCTCAGTTCTCAGGATGTGTATATGTATACTATATTGTGTGTAATACAGTTTAACAGTTGCTACATATGTTGTAAAACTCCAGAGAGCACCATCCACAGCATAGTCTATATAATGCTTCTGGATGATTCAGTGCAACAACCCTATTACATTTATATCATGTACTATAGTATATTCAGTATGATACATATACCACAGTATAGTATATATGATTTAAATTATACGTAGTACATATCGTACACATACCTGTGATAAAAGGTGAAGCACTAGGGTGCTTTTGCAAGGTACAAAGTGTTACTCCACATGTCCAGTTATTTTTTCATACAAAGGCATTTTAGTCACTTCTTCATCCAGGGGTCACAATATTCAATGTTCAAAACTTAAAGGAGAAGATGTTTCTTTTGGCTGTTTTTAGAAGTTTCAGGACATGCATGGTTGGCTAGATCCAAGTGGAAACAGCATAGAAGCGCTGGTCAGACAACAGCTGCTCCCCTCATCGTAGCCAGGAAGCAGAACCTCAAAAAAGGAACTTCAAAGGCAGATACACCCTCCCATGTCCTACCCACAGTTACTGGCTTCTCTTGCCCAGACCCCCACCTCCTAACAGCAAGTCAGCTATAATGTCCTATAATCCAATCACCTTCCAAACACATGGGGCCTTCAGGACCATTTTAGATCTAAACTGTAACAAAAGGTGAATCTGTCAGACAAGAACTGACAGAGAATTCCAAAGAGGGAATTTCTTGAGGTTCCAACATCTTGCAAAGTGTTTGACCCATAGAAGGTCATTGAGAAATATAAAATGCTAAATAAAATTACACCTACCTCTCAATTTACCAAAATCCCTTAACATTTTTTTCTCACAGGGTAATGATGAAGCTAGCTTTTAGTTTTGTCATATGCAGAACCTCATCTAGGTGAACTGAGATCTTTAAAGCTCAGCAGCGTCTCCCCCGTGCCTACTGTCGATGCCCTGACACCACTCCCTGTGGTTAGTCCTACTACAGAGACCCAGGGGCATCCTGCAGGGGTGAGCTCAGCGTGTGCAGGCAGGAAGGGGCACTCCAGCTGCTCTGCAGAGGGTGCAGCCTGTGCACAGTATAAGAATGGCAGCTTAGGAGGGAGATGATTACCCACTGTGCTAGAGCCAAGGACAAGACTGGACTAGCGGCAGGAGACAAGACTGATAAATTCTTGGAAACTTTATTACATATGCAAAGTGTAATCTCAGAGGTTGGATTTGACCCTGGAAGCAAGAATAGCCTTTGAAAGACTTTAGGCTGAGATCAGCTTGATGTGATTTCTGTTTTAGGAAGGTTCTTTTACCTAAGGTGAGGCACTGTAAGGACAAGAAACAGTCCAAGTATAATCCCTTCTTGACAGTTCCCTTGGACATGTTATTTGGTGCTACTCGCTTTGAAATAGGACTTGCATCAAAAGACATCTGATTCCACAACATGGAATACCAAGATTCTGACATTGCATTGGATGTCCTGGGTAGTCAGGAGAGAGAATAGTTTACTAGAGCACATAGTATTTTGCTTGAAAACCCCCATTTAACATGTGTCTTAGTTACTTTTGTCTTGTTTCTGAGACAAAATACCTGACACCAAAGTTAAAGGGGAAAGGCTTATTTAGCTCACAGTTTGTAGAGGTTTCAGACCATAATCAGTTGCTCCAAGGCAGAATGGCATGGCAGACAGGAATCACAGAGGAGAAACAGTGTACATGGCAGACAGAAGGCAGCAAAACAAGCAAAGGTACCTTAACAGCATCTTTCTGCCCCCTGTATCTTATCCAGGCTCCTCAGGGGAAGTAGCATGCACACCCTTAATCCTAGTGCCCTTGGCCCTAGCACTGCACAATGAATCAATCCCAGCATCACACACTCTAGATTCAGGCACCTCTGAAAAAGCCCCACCTGTGATGGCATGAGGCTTTCAAGGGACATCTAGACACAAGCTATAACAACATGTTTTCTCTTGCTTTCTTCTTATGCTTCCAGCTAATTCCCTCTCAAGTCTTGATCCTTTGCCCCCTTTGAGCCATCCAACTCTACCTTCTATGCTTGCATATCTCACTCCGCAAAACAAGAAACAAATGGCTCCCTATCTGTGGCTTATGAGTTCACCACTAGTAGTGAGAAATGGTCTCAGTTTAATGCACTAAGGTAGCTACTTGAGGGGTGGAGGAAATGGATGCATACTGTGCTGACAAAACCAGCAGGTTTTAATGACTGACTATGTCAGAGAGGAAGAAGTCAAAGCAAATTATTTCCTAAAGACTATGGTCCTGGCCAAGTTTTTACTCATTTATTGACCTGGATGTTTATTGCATTCGCTAAATTCCTACTCCTTACTTTCTGCCCCAGTCTATCAAGTGGATTGGGGCAAGCCTGTTCACATTCAGAGTACTGACTATCTGACTCCCACTGCCCTGTAGGTAGAGCCCAGATGCCTTCACAGGATATGCAAAGGCCTTTGATGTTGGAGTTCTTGTCTACCCGGAGACTCATCATGTACTACAGCCCATGGGACTTTCCTCACTAGACTTCAGGGTTAAGCAATGAGTTATGATTTATAGTCCATCTTTTCACATTTAAATACTGCTTTAAACAACCTGGTCTACTTTTGCTGGCTCCTCCAGACTCTGGTCAAGCCTCTCTTCTCCAGAACCCTTGTCACACTTTTTCTGGCCTCACCTGTCCAGGTTGAGTGCAATGGTACTTGCCTATATTACTACTTTATATTACTTTGCATATCTGTTACAGTATAAACTTTGTTCCCTAACTATGCCCTTCTTCCTACCTAGGCCACAAGCTCTGTAAGGACAAGGGCTATATCTTCTCTACCTTAGAATTCTTGGGATCCAGCTTGAAATCTGCTCAAAAATTTATTTATTGAATGAATAAATACTAGTGGGGAAATGAAAACTCAGATCTAAAATGTCACACCATGAATCCAGTGCTTTCTCTCCTATCTCAGATAGTCAAGAGTATCACTTCATGGTGAAGGGCAAAATACTTCATGCTATCAGATGACAGAGTTCTTCTTCCTAATCTAGCACTGTGGGAAAAAATGATAATAAAAGAGTTAAGTCACCAAACATATTAAAAAGACTATACGATCAAGCTTGGGCCACTTTTCAAAACGTTTAACTACTACATGTAGTGCAAAATAGTTAAATGTTTTACACCTAACATACACCTATAATTCCAGTTACTTAGGCAGCTGAGGAGGATCACAAATTTGAGGCAACCTGGACAATGTAGCAAGATCTTGCCTCAAAATACAAAATAAAAATAGCTCATCCTAGCTCAGTGGTAAAGTGCTTTCCTAGCATGTGCAAGGCCCTGGGTTCCATTCCCGCTACTACAAACAAAATCTAGCCTAAATTGAGCAGGAAGACATAGCATTCCTTTATTGGGGTATAAACATCTTTGAGAATGCCCTAAAAGATATATTTTCATGTAAATGTACTAACATCATATCCATCAATAAGTACCCTTACTTATTTGGGAGTTAAACCAATTGGAAATATTTGTGGTTTTTTTATCTGCTGTCTCTTTCCTGCTATGGGAAGACCTAGACAATAAAAGCAGCGGAATGTAAATCTGTCAGTGTGGCTATCTTTTTCTTCCTGGTCATTAGCAAAAGGATTGATTGAGAAAGTAGCTGAAAACTGGGAACAATTCACTTTTACTAATGTTTCTTAAATTTGCTGTTCTACATTCTATTAGAAAGAATTATCAGTACCTCAATTTTAAGTAGTAGCAATCCAACCCATGTAAGTTTTGCCTAAAGATCTCTAAACAGGAGCTTCTTCTCTCCCAAAAAGTGGCAAAATTAAACCAATGAGTCAAGGAAACTGCAACAATGTATTTATTGGAAATGACATTACATTAACCTGATGAAGATGTGAAATGCATGGAGCATAACTGGTGCAACAGTTTTTGAAAATCACAAATGAAAAAAATCATTTTCAAAAGAAAATGCTGTATGCAAGTCACCTATGAATACCATGATGCAACTCATAATGTTGACTAAACTTGCAGAATAAAGTTTACTTTAGACGAATAACAGAAAAGATTTCCTTCCCCAACTAAAAAGTTCCTTGGCCCTCAATGGCATATCACATCCATAAGGCAATTCTCATCACTTGACAGTAAGATGATATCTGTCGTATTCTTGTTAGAAAAAACACCACCCTACAAATAAGGAAAATTCTAGAGAATCCAACCAACAGGTCAATCAGTGGCCCTCAACTAAATGGGGCACCTAGAATCAACATTCTCTAGAACCCAGAAGTTACAGTAAGTGTACTTAATAGTAAGATTTTATTGTCACTTAAGAAACCACCTGGATTTAAGGGCATGCTGATCTGCAACAAGTCATTACGTACATTACATACTGAAGGGGTTTCAGATGTTTTTCATCTGCTCATCAAGATTTCCTGAAACCTTTACTCATGCCCTCTACAATAAATTTGAGCTTATATATAACAAACTCTCTTTGAAGAAATTTACCCCAATAACCCATCTGTGGAAATACAAAGACTACAAAGAGCAGTAACGATAAATACTGGTAAGAAAGGCAAAAATGCTACATCAATTTTTAGAGGCACTATTGTAAAATCATCTATGAAATGGATAATTGTATGTGTTCTTTGAAAGTGACTGTCCTTCCATATAGCCAGCATGACTGAATGTCCTCTATTGAGCTGTTTGTAGTGGTGGAAGTTGGGAGCCCAAATGCAGAACTGCTGGGTTTTTGTTGAGCTGATGCGACTCTACTCTTTCATCCCAGTGGATTTCAATGGTTTGTTCCTAAACATTTCACAGTTCAAAATTTTCAAATGAAAGGAAAAAATGGTTAAGTGCTTATTGAGTCAAGTGGCCAAAGGGGGTAAAAAAGATCTCAACACAGTAAGTCATCTGGAAAAATCAATGATAATTGTATTTCATTATCCAAAATTGATGGGAGAGAGAACTAAATTGAGAGGTCTCACAATTTGGTGGGAAAATGGCTAAACCTTGTCACTTGGTAACTGTTGCTCACTATAAATCATTTAAATAGAAAGGCAGAGAACTAATCTAAATAATTTCGGTCCTAAATCAGTGATGGTGAACCTATGGCACACGTGCCATAGCAGGCTGTTTGTATTACTGAAAGCTCTAAAAGGTTTGTCATCACTGTCCTAAATTATATTTTTGAGGCCTATTATTTTCAAACAATGCTGGTCTAATGTGCTATGAAATTAGCAACCCTCTTTGTCTTTACCTTGAGCTGGAGAGACTCATCCACAATGTCTTGCTTTCTCCTCATGAATTTCTAAAGTAAAGCCTAATTAGACTCAAATGCATGAATATGCAACATGCAAATTGGCACAAAGCAGGGAGGGCAAAAAAAGCCCTCACCTTCCTAAAAAACCCACAGGAGCAGGACTAGCAACCATCTTCCTCATAGACAATGTCAGTAGAACTGAAGACAGACACACATAAAGTAACATAAATGGTTCCACCTTTCCACCAGTGAGTGAAACATGCTGCTCTTTGGAGAAAAAATACATTCATTTTTTTTCAAGTATATCTCAATATACAAAGATGCTCTAGCTTTATTTCACTATAAAGACAAAAAGATTTTACATGTCCCCAAGGAGAATTCCATTTGAACTTCTTGGGTGTGGATTTCATGAAGTTCAGACTTAAAAATAATTGTTCTCTACATACATGTCTACTCATTTTATTTGAAAGTGTGAACCCTCTATGTCTATTTTATATATATGTACATAGTCAGCAACAACAAAAACCAGTCTGTATCTGTACAATGGCTTAGGACTGGCATGTTCTAATGAGAGCGGAGGCTGCCTGCTGACTCAGCTCAGCAGAGGTGGTAGGTGGTTCCTCGCCTTGGGTGTCCCGCCGGGGCCAGCGGCACACAGGCCCCTCCTCTCCGGGGTGGTTAGGAGCACTTTCTGCTCCAACTGCATGTCTTCAATTATGGCTTATTTCCTGTCTTGGCTTTGTTGTTAGGGTTGCAGTTTAGTTCTCTCAGCAGTGATTCACAGCTGGCCAGGGCATCTGCTGGCAGGAGCTTCCGGATTTGCTCCACTGTCTTTTGATAAGTCAGTTTCTCCTGTTCCAGAGTCCGGATTAAAGTCTTCATTTTGGTCTCTCTGGTCAAAAGATTTTCCAGGTTTGATTCCAGGGCCTGGATCTTAGCATGAGCCACCTGTTTGGCAAGAGAAAAAAAAATCCCCCAAATCAAAAATTCAAAGTGTCTGGTTGTTTATTATAGCAGCAGCTAGGCCTCATGTATATTAAGTAATTATGTAAAATTATTTAATAAAATATTATGAGGTGCAAATGTTGTAAGAATCTAACAGATTTCTAGGTCACTCAAAAATATAACTATCACTACTAACTTGATTCATCTCCTGTCACTGACTATAGCAATAATGCAATGCTGAATCACCCCACATGCTGGGGTCCTCATGCCACACCCCCTGGGGTTCCTCCTGAGTGAATGAGGTCTGGCCTTGCCAAGAAAGAAAGAATCCTGACACAACTTGCCAGTGCTCAAAGCCCTCTGCCTGGAAATGCAGGGTTCTCTAAACACATACTTGGGGTCCTATCAGTTGTGACAAGTATCAAAGGGTCCCCAAGGAACTCAGTGACAACACCTAAATATCACTGGAAACTCTGCAACAACTAAGAGCAATCATGAATATGAAACAGGTGCAAACTCTCCTCTAACAAGGAGATGCTCCATTAGTCATTCTTAAAATATCCAAGTAATATGGGACAATATACCAACTGTTTTTTTTTTCTTTAAAGAAATTATATTGGTTCTATTTTGAATAGAAAAAACTGATAAAAATTGTATGAGCCAGCACTAATATAAGATGAAGCAGAAGAAGTTAAGTGCTGCTTGTAGGGGCTAGCTGCTTCTTTGTTTCTCTACCTGCAGTTTTTCTAAGAGGTCCATGTTCTGTCTTTTCAGTTGGCTGTTGGCCCTCTCCAGCTTCTCCAAAGGCTCGGTATCCTCACAGGCGTACGACGATTCCTGGAGCTCATCCTGCAGCACGTGGTATTCTACCTCATAGGCGTGTAACTGTTTAGAAATATCCATCTCAAAAACCTGCCAGGGAAACACCGAGGTTAGTATGGGCTTTAGGTGTATGCTGTGCATGCAACATTCTGCGTACCTCATACCTGTTTCCAAATACTTATTAATGAGAAATGTTAAAGCATACACAAAGGAAAATAGGTAGATGTACTCTCAACACAAGAATAATTAGATCACAGACTATTTGTACCCAACTGAGACATTCTCAAAGCAAGATTAAAGCATGAAAAGAAATTAAATTCCAAGAATACTTTGCAATCAAAATAAAAACACTAGTTATTGAGCAATTATTATCTATGTTAGAGGCAATGGTGCTGATTAGTAAGCAAAGCTGCGCAGGGTATTTCTAGGATACAGAGACCAAAAACATTTCTAATGTATTTGTCAATGGAGCAGAAAGGTCTTAACAGTTTCACCAACTTGCTCTTCTATATAAGCCTCTTGTGAGTCATTTATACAGTCTACCACAAAGAGTCCTCAAAATTGCTCCCTGAGCACTGTTCAGAGCTGGATGGTTTAATTTGGCTGCTGTCACTCACCTATATTATTACCAAAAATGCAAAGGTTTGTTTAGAAATTAGAGGACAGGCAACCCCTCCTCAGTCTAGATATGCTGCAAGCGACTGTGAGGCAGCAGTGTGATTCAAGCAAGGGAGTCCGTTGCTGCTACTGTGGAGAATAAAGGAAAAAACCTATCTGACCCTACTACTTATTAGAGAAACTCAAATATAACTTAATAAGGGACCTTGTAGAATAACTAGTCATCCTCTGAAACAGCATCATTTTTGCCTTGCCTAGCAGGTATGGATACAATGTACCATTACACAGCCATTAAAAATGATATGCACATGCCTGTAATCCTCTGGGAGGCTGAGCAGGAGGGTTAGGGATGTAGCTCAGAATGAAGGCCCTGAATTTAACCCTTACTACCGTGGATGATGGTGGGGATATGGATCTGTTTCCATAAGCATGAAAGAAGTCCAGTACTTTACACATATTTTAATTAAAAATCAACTCACACAACAGGATTTGCAGTATGTTTTCATTTCTGTAAAACTGTATACATATTTATGTATGTATATAAGCAGAGATATGTGAAGCAGGCTATTTCAAAGATTATGTCCTAGACGTGTTTACAGTTACTTTTATTTTCCTCTTTGTGCTTTTCTGCACAATTTGCATTTTTTATGTCCATAAATAAAACTCATCAAGGTCTCCTTCAATATCAGCAGTTCATTCCACAGTTAATTAACCCCAATGTCAGGCAGTTCTCTCTAATATCAAGTCCAAAAATACCTGACTATAAATTCTAGCCATTAATCCTAGTAGTAATCAGTAAAACCAGGCAATCCCTTCATTAATTTTGAAGACAAGTAACATCTGATTTTATTTCTCCAAAACCACAACGTTCGACAGCTTATCAGTCAAAAAAAGGTGTTTCTGAAGAATAAACAAGTAAATATACAGATAAAAGCTACACTTTTCTGCTTACAGAATATCTTAATATATCGCTTCTCAGCCTTTTGGCTAAGATCAAGTATAGTATCTGTTCTTATCGGAAATCTTAATATATAAAGATAGTTGATAGCAATTTACAGAATAATCTGTGATTTAGATTTCATGTAATGGAAAGATAATTTTATATATGACAATATAATGAGAGTTTATATTATAGTATGAATTAGTGCACATGAGCACATGAAATGGAATAGTATTAATTAGAGCACATGGAATATTAGAGCATCTAAGCATATAAAATGGAATACACGTACTTGAAGCAAGAGGGCATATTTTGAGGGGGATTAATGGCAATGTGTCTTTTACTAAAATAAATGTTTTAAGTTTAAGCATTCACAGTACATTTTAACCACCCCTGTACATCTTTCACTTGCCCAGTCAGCACTGGGGGCGGGAGCAGCTTCCCTCTGTTTACCCTCTGTCTGGGCATCCGGACATCTGTGTTGATTCCCTCAGCCCTCCCAACACCTCTGCAAATGCCCCCATGGAATCATCAGAGAAAGACTCTGTCTCCTGGTGTAAGTTTAGATAAACTCTGGAACATTATTGTCTTCTTTTGGAGCTAAGAAGTAATAGGGTTCAGAAGTGCAGTCTGGCAAGTGCATGACACAATAAAAAAGACTTAGTGACACAGTAATGTCAATTAATAAATTTTAAAGAAAACAGTTAGAAGGCTACCCAAACCAATACTTTCTAATTCCAAAGCCTATGTTCTCTCATCATGTGACCTCCTTGTATATTTTACAAGTTGATGATATTGCAAGAGTAAGTGTCTTCATTTTATTCTCAGATCTTCCTGACAGATAAGGTCTACCTTTGATTTCAGCGCTGGTTTAAATTGAAAAGATTCCTGGAAAACTCATTCTGTAACATCATTCCGTAGTTCCTGTGCATAGCCACACAGACAATGTCCCAGTGCAGAAATTCCACAATATTTTTTTTTTTTGTTTTTTTTGTTTTTTTTGTTTTGTTTTTCTCCGGTACCAGGAACCGAACTCAAGACCTTGCGCTTGCCAGGCAGGCGCTTTGCCGCTGAGCTAAATCCCCAGCCCCACAATATTTTATTTCTAAATAAATCTGATCAAAGTAAATAACAAAAAATCTTGAAGACAATCATACCTGTCAAACAAAACTACATTTTAATGCTAAAGCATTTAATACATAAGCAGTAGAGGAACTGCTGTAATATTGTATTTTATTATTGAAATCATACCTGGGTGATAATTTTTTCCATTTCAGAAGTGTTCATATCAGGTAGCCTGCTTTTTAAGAATTCAACGATGTTCTCAAAGTTTTCACACTCCATTATAAGTGTCTCTTGGCTGCTTAAGAGGCTCAGTGCAACCTTAAATATAACTTCAGTTCCCTGAACAAAAATAATATCTAAAAGAAAAGACCATTTTCATTATCAAAGTTGTGTACCCACAATAACAAAAAGAGTACTCTTTGTGTTAAAGGTGCGTGTGTGTACTTTATTCCTCAAGCAGAACTAGAGATTATTTTGCAAAAGACAACAGCAAAAGCATCTAACTTTTTAAAAAAAATAATATGACTGAAACAAGTAAACAGATGTCTGAATAGTTCCCAATCTTATTAGGAATCTCAGATAAAACAAAGGTTAAAAAGGACAAATTACATATATGGTGATCTATGTATCACTTGTACTTTGAATAACAAATTTAGTGGAAGATGAGTAAACCTCAAAGATTCAAGTAATATTTAAAGTTTTCTTCACAATAGAATACAAATGAACATAACCAATTAATATTATTGAAACTGTCATAATATAAAAGCAAATGAACCAGTTAATATGTAAATCTATAAAACAGAAAATTGAAGGAAAAAAGCTTTAAAAGTAAAATCAAAGCAAGTAACAAACAATATCAGAAGACAAAAGAGCAAAGCTACCCTTACTCTAAACTCTGCTTCCTTGCAAATACAATCACGCAACAGTTTTGGAATATAGCAAATACACTGACATGAAAATTCTTCTCAATACATGTGCCAATCTTCTGTCAAAAATATACAGTGGGATGGGCCAGAGATACAGCTCAGTGGCACAGTGCCTGTGCCTGGCAAGTGCAAGGTCCTGAGTTCAATTTTTGATTTAAAAAAAAATGTATACACACACACACACAATGGAGAGTCTTTAAAAGAGGAAGTGTGCAAGAATTATTTCAAACATGCATCTTTTCATTTCATAACATTCTCTATTTTTTTACTGAATTCAAAGGAAAAGATTGAGCAATTATCACATAGCTGATAGTTTCAGTCAAAACCTCATAACAAGGGACAGACTACTGGGAGCATTTGTTTCTTGAACTCTTGATATCACGCTTCCAAGGATAAATAAATGAGAGATACGGTGAAACATCAGATTTGATAGAGAAACACATACATAAAAAGACTATGTATATTTCTCTAAAAACTGCATATGAAAAAAGATTTCTAGAAGATTCATTAAGAGAAGCTCAACCTCCAGAGAAAATTTCACAGGAGAAAACAATGTCTATTAAGTAAACAAGAGAAATCTGGCACCAACTTGATTTAGTGAAACTTGATTTTACTCTTTTGCTACACTTTGTTTACAGATTGTAGTCCACTAATGCAAGGCATTTTTAAACCACAGCCTTCCTCATAAGAAAGACTCTGAACATTATAATGTATTATATACATGTTACACATACATCCTAAGAACTGAAGTTTCCCCAAGAAACATTTTTCCTCTTTGTTATGCTCTAGTATTTTCATTAATATTTTGTTCTTTTGCTGGAGTTCTGGAAACTTGACTATTATATGTCTGGGTGTA